CAGTGCGGTTAAAAATTTGAACTTGGCTGCCGCTGGCCCGACCCCTTGCTGCGGTTAGTTACCCCGCACCCTGAACCCCGATCCCTGTACCCTGCACCTCATCAGAGACCATTCGAGGCACTCGAGCATCAGGCATCCCATCCAGCTGAAGCCCAGCGCAGCAATCCACAAAACCGCAGTCGAAAAGTATCTTTGTATCTACGAGATTTGCGCCATTTGATCTTTGGTTGGCGGCATGGCATCTCTTCTTTTTTCCCTCTCTCTTCCAGTTTTGTGCAATTTTTTTGTTTTTTGTTTTATTTTTCGATATTTTTCATGAGCCTGCTGACTTGGCTGGGCTTTTGTCTCGGGTTTCCAGCATATGCCGCCCCGGGTTTGAGTCGCGTTGCAGATGGCAGGAGGGCATTGTCGAGGAGTTTAATCAGTCAATGGATGCAGCTGAAAGTTAGGGAGGATGCGAGATAAAGTACGGGAATTAAGTAGCAGGAGCTCCAGACTGCGATTAATTCGATGCCCCTATCAATTAGCAGGACGTTGAGGTAACTAACGATCCTGAATTTCAGACTGGAAGGCAACAGATGCTACTTGCCACTTGTGTGAAGTTTTTTGATTAAAAAAAAGGTTTTTAATGTAGAAATTTTTCCCATCTACTATACTGTCACCGATAGCCCCCTTTTGGCAATAATACCTCCTCATATAGGTCGTAATCTCTATTTTAATTAGAGTTAAGACCATTCACGTGCTGAGGCATCATTCTGCCCAGTTACCCAATCTGTGTCCCAATTACATGCATCCTTTTTGACAAAATAAGGACTCGCAACTGTCATCCCACAATGGAATCGCCAAGGCAACACATCTCCACTGACCCAAACAAGCTGGGAAAATCTAATTAAGAAGAACTATTTATGCTAGAAACGGAAATGGGAAGCCCTGGGAGGATAGACACAGATTGCAGATTAAAGGCCATCCGCACACGAACCGGAGAAGTGGAAGTTTGGCAAACAGTAATCCGGCGGGAATCAAAAATATTAAAAATAAAATCAATGAAATGCGAAATATCAAAAGCGAAATGTAAATACCGGAGGGTGACACGCCTGGCAAAGGGTGGCGAAGGAGGCAAGGGGCGAAGCAGGACGAGGGGAGCGGCAGGGTGTTTGGCAAACGCTTAATTGGCATTAAGGACGCTAAGAAGAGCCGTCCTGTGGGGTGGTAAGTGCTGTCAGAGCCAGCCAGGCGTTGGCAATTGTAATTAGGACAACGCCGAACGATGAATTTAAAGCCAGGCCCGGGCCCTGGCCCGGAGAGACTCGGGCTGGATATTCTTTTGGGCGGTCCTTTCTCGTCCTGGGTATTTATTTAGGCACGTGATCCGTGTGGCAGCAAAGCCTTTAATGCCCTCGGTAAACAACGGAGCGATTTACGCACACAGATGCTGGGCAGAGACTTTCCTTCCTGTGGCACTGCGAGTAATATTTGATCCTTTTTATCAAGAATTTTAAATGAAAAATGATTGTTTAAAAGGTTGTAAGGAAAAGTAGTATCTAATCACTGAGGTCTAATATATATACGAGGGATAATCGATTTTTCTCAGTGTAGCCTGGTCCATTTTCTGACACTGCCCCCCGGCGGCGGCTGTCACGTTGCATGCCACCAGAGTTGGCTAGATGCTGCTGCTGTTGTTATTATTGCAATTATTATAATTGCGCACACACTGGCATCGACAGTTAGACAGGATCCTGCCCAGGTCCTGCCCACACCCAGACACACACGCTGACGTACTCACGGTCACACATAAATTGCTCGCAGAAAGGAGCCGGGTAGCAAAGGGAGCAAGAAAATAAAAACTAATTCACTTCTTGTGCTTCGCATTGCGCTCGTTTCCTGTCCTGTCGTCAGCAGATTTGCATAACTTTTTCCAATTTCAAAGCTCAAGCTGTGGCCAAGGCATATGCACGTTATGTATATACATATAATATATATATGTAAATGCCCTTGTACCCCGCACTAGCATCCGCCGCCACTCATCCTTCCACCATCTCCGGTTACAGGCGTAGTCATCGTGGCGCTGACGTTGCCCAGGCTGCCTCTTATTTACGTCAATTGCTTGCGCATTCGCTTAGCCACCATCCCAGCTAGCTATCGAGGCGGCGGGAGCAGGAGGTGGTTGGTGGGAAAAACTCCAAGAGGATGGGCCACTGAATGCGGGAGTTTTCCTCCTGCGTGGGCATTAGGTGTCAATTTTCAGCGCTCCAGCGAAATGCTCAGGGAATCGCTGAAATTTCCCTGAATGCCAAGACCAATGACAGGCACTCCAAAAAAATGTACGGAATTTTTTAACAAACATTTTTTAATAATTAAAAAAAGATATCCCCATCTAATAAGGTATTTACACATTTTGAATAACGTACAAACATTATAAACATTTTTGTTAAAATGTTTACCCAACAAGTAATATTTCAAGTGTGAGTTAAAGGGGAAATCAAGACGAGAAGCTGGCTGGGGAAACCACTGGATCTGGATTTCTCTACGATTTCCTTGGATTACCTACTCGTTGGCAACACTTGCAATTTGCCATCACGTGGAAATGAAAGTGCCAGAGTTAATGGCATTCCAAGAAACGCAAATTAATTCAAGGAAATTCAAGAACGACTTTCTATTCCCCCCAAAATATGAGGTTTCGATTTCTCTGGTCTCTGTTTATTTATTAAATGCGTAATTACAAGGATATTAGGGATGCTGTATCAATAAGGATGAGACACAGTATCCAAATTAACAATTAACGAACAAAGTTGTTATCTAAGGAATGTGTTCTAATTACTCAAATTTCTCAGAGTCCTTATATAAAGTCTTTAAATTAGTTCAACCATTAGAGTTTTTTTATAAATGTTTTTATTCAATAATAAATTAAACTAGAAATTCTTCGCTAGGCGGTATGGATTTATTTTAAATCTCTTAAGAAATCGATTTGCTCCGCACATAAATTTAAACTTTAAACTCAGATTTCAATATCCATGTATAATGTGTAATTTAAAGGGCAGCCGTTAGTTTCTTTGGGTAACTCAACTGCAGGATCATCCCCCGGAAGCCCGACCTTATCCTGCCGCCGCGGGACAATCACCAGTTCGTGACCAATCAATAGTTCAATCGCAATCACGAAGAGCGGACCAACTTCATCAGGCAAGTCATAAAATTTAATTAGAAAAGCATTTCACCAGCGAGAGTGACTCGAAGCTGGAATACAAATACAAGAATCGCCTTTATTGTTTTATGGCCCTGCAAAAAGGAAATAAAATAAAAGGAGCGATGGCGATGGCAGCGGCTGGGCCCAAGGAGGGATATAACATAAATGGCCAAAACGCTCGACTTCAAGGGATAGACAAGAGCCGGCCCAACTCGTCGGGGAACAATTTGAGCGGCGGCAGGAACAGCAGCAGGTGCGAATGAAAAGGACTCGGCCGGCAAGGAAACCAGGCGGTGTCCTGGTGCGGGAAAATCAATCGGGCAGAAAAATCAAAGAAAATGTATATGCCCACCCACTAATACGGGGAAGTACTGTGAGAAAGGCGGTAGGTATTTTTAAAACTATGTATTTAGTTTTTTGAAGGCATGATTACATATTACTATATAACATAAGCTATAATTATTCAAAATTTGATTTAATCGTGCTGACAAAAAGAAACCTATTAAGGTCCAAAAAAAAAATAATAAAACAATCCAAAAAACATTATTTCTCCCCATGTAACTACACATACAATACAATTTTTTATTTTCCTCTATTCAGCGCATTTTTTATTTAACACCAAATTTTCACAGGGCGTTGAAATCTGGGCGTGCCGCCACTCCCCCCGACCGAAACGCGTTTATCAAAGTCAATTCCCCGGGGGTGGCTTAACATCCTGGGAGGGCGGGGTGGACAGGACAGGTCCTGGCGTCGTTGCCGTTAGTCTGCGGCGGCTCCTGCTGTCGCTCCTAATGCGATACGCATCAATTTATGAAATTTGAAATATTATGACTGATTTTGCGCGTCTCAAATGCGGCTGTTATGTGGGTTCCTCTGGGTTGCTTTGGGATCTCCGGCTCGGATTCACCCTCGCAGCCTCGTGGTTGCGGGTCGGGCCTAATCTGGCCAACAGGTCAGCAGCCATCAGCCGGAGCGGTGTGGGGAGGGTCGGTTGTCTGGTGCTTAGGTGGAAAATACTCACATCACTCACACGACTCACTTCTGTAAATTGAAGTAGCAGCATCGAGAACAACAAAGGCCTGGCAATGAAGCAGCGATGCGGGATTTCTATTTTTATGACAAACACCAGACAAAAGCGGCGATTTAAAGTGAAGGTCGGGGTCGGGGTTCTCGGCAAGCAGGGTTGATTGGTTTGAGCCATTTCAGGCATCCCGGGCAGGGGTCATAGATGAACCGGGCCAGCAAACAAAAGCCGCCGATTCATTCCGAATTTTTAAGTACATATTAGATATTAAAATTCAGGCTTTTTTCATTTGTGCTGGGCATTTCCAAATTGGATTAGTGCCTCGACTTAGGCAGCCAAATTCAGAATTTTTAATGCCTAGTGACGGGCATCGTTTTGATGGAAAGGGAGAACAAGACCCAATTTTTGTAAACTGGATATTCTTATCCTATATTAACCGCTGATTTATAAAGCAGAGGACAAATTCTTTAAAAAAATAATAATTGAAAATCAATTTATTGAAGATTGAAAATTTTATTTTTAGTACAGAAATTTAAATAAATTATAAGTTTCTTAAAAATTATTCACTTTAGTTTTTAATAATATGGTTTTTCTTATCTTACTTTGTATATTTTGAAAACCGGTTATTCAAATCCTGATTTTAAAATATTGGTTCGTGTTATGACTAATTTTGGAACGAGTGCTGCCCATTTGAATGGATGAAGTGTCGCCATCTGGGAGTTAACAAGTCTGGCAGCTTCATTGCTTCCAGTGTTGAAAGTCGAAGGTTAAAATTTCAGTGTTGGTAAACAAAAACAAGACTCAGCTGTTTTTCGCTGACTAATTTCCTTTTTTCGAGATTATCTTCAATTTAATTATTTGTAAGGCTATCCAATGCACGGGCGAGTGAAAGTACGCACCACCGAGGAGGAGCGGGAGCGAAAGAAGAAGGAGCAGGCGCTGAAAGTCCGGGCCTACCGCGCCGCTATGGGCAGGATCCAGAAGAAAAGGGAGGCCGGCGAGCTGGACTCGGAAATGCTGACCCTCACGGTTCAGATCCTGCAGCGCAATCCGGACGTGAGCACCCTGTGGAACATTCGACGAGAATGCGTTCTGGATAAGCTGGCCAAACTTAAGGCGGAGGCCACAGAAAAAGAGCAGGCCCCGGAAAATAAGGAGAACGCCGAGGAAACTACCGAAAAGAAAGACTCCCAGCCTGAGGACAAGACCCAGGCTGTGTTTACCACCGAACTGGATCTCACCGAGCAGTGCCTGATGGTCAATCCCAAGTCCTACAACGCCTGGCATCACCGGTGCTGGACACTGGAGCAGAACCCCCGAGCTGACTGGCAGCGGGAGCTCCACCTGTGCAACAAGTACCTCAAGTTCGACGAGCGAAACTTCCACACCTGGGACTACAGGCGCTATGTGACCGCAAAGGCGGCTGTTTCCGCTGCCCAGGAACTTGACTTTTGCACCGAAAAGATCAAGGTGAACTTCTCGAACTATTCCAGCTGGCATCACCGCAGCCTGTTGCTGCCGGAACTCTATCCCAACGAGCGGCGGGACAGACCTATGAGCGAGGAGAAGCTGCAGCAGGAGCTGGACATGGTTCTCACAGCCGCCTTCACGGATCCTAACGACAGCAGCGCCTGGTTTTATCAGCGCTGGTTGCTGGGAAGCGGCGCTGAGCTGGACAGGGTTCCCAAAGTGGCTGCCTTCCGCTTGGGTGCCAAGGGAGCAGCGTTGGCCTTAGACAAACCCTACCCCGACTTGAATAAACTTCCAATTGAGTTGGCCAGCGGGGATCAAAGGTGGCAGCTGCAAGACTGGCAGTCTGTGGATAGTGGAAATACTGCCTGGAAGCTGCAGCAGCTACTCGACTTCCAAAATACCAAATCTTTTACCCTAAAGCTAGCTGATCAGGAAGTAAATCTATCCCCTATTCCCAACTCCGATGGTTTCTACTACTTTGTGCCACCCCACGCCACCGCCAGTTGCAGCAAAGAACTGCTGGCAGAGCTGAAGACCCAACTGCAATCCTGTCTAGATCTCCTGGAATACGAACCCGACAGCAAGTGGACTTTACTGACGAGTGCTCTGCTAATGCGCGCCATCGACGTCTCCGCCAATCACGACCAGAGTCTCACTCACTTGGCTAAACTGGAGAAGGTTGATGCTTTGCGGGAGGGATACTATAAGGATCTGGCAGCCCGTTGGGTGCTGGAATCCGAGCTGGCCAAGTGGCCGCAGGCTGCAGACTTTCCCATAAAGTTTGAACTGGCGGAGGAGAAGTCTCTGGCATCGCTGCCGTTGGGACAGTATCTCATCATTGCCGATGAGCTGAAACTGCCACCAAAGCTTAGAGAGGAACTGGGAGAAAGGTTGCCCAAGAGTTTTGGGGACCTTGAACTGTAAGAGGGTAAAGGATTTAAGCTTCAAGAAGCTAAAACACACATTCAATTTAGCCACTATTCCTATTTATACACATATTTTTATGTTTTGTATATATATTTTGTACATCTTGTATTACGCTTAAAAATAAATTCATATGCTGAATGCGTATGCACTGCAACATTAAATGCGACGATGATCCACAAATATTTGAATTGAATTCCTTTGCAAATGGAATGGCTCAAAGCAAAGTAAAAGGGCCGAAACCAATGACAACCCGCAGCCCATCCATTATCGAATGCTTTTCGTTACAAATGGGCAGACCGTCGATATGTCGTTTCCATGCCACCAATATGCAACCAATAGCTACTTTAAGCGGTCCCTCAAGCTGCCACATTCCTGAGGCATCCACCGATGTCGCAGCTTATCCTGGTCCTTCGTCCTCCGACTGCTGTCACTGTGTTGCAATCGTGGTGTTGCTGTTGGTGATGCTGTTGCCACCGCTGTCGCCTTCTGTGTGTGTGCATCGAGGCGCTGCGAGATTTGCGGTTTTTTGGCGGCTCCAGCGGTTGTATAAATTATGCACGGCCCTGGAGATGCTCAGCGATGGCGATGGCGATGCCAGGCGCTCAATGCGCGTCCACAACATTGGCAGCCGCATGTCATTACGTGCTGAAGCCACACGAAGTGTGATACACTCTCAGAAAAATGTCACTTTTGAATAGAAAATAAAACCATAAACTAGGAAGGCTGCCTTCTCCTAATGGTTCCAATATTGGAGGCATAACAATTCGCCCTTTGCCACAATACGATGAAAGATGTATCAGCTATTGTTCCATTTTCCCAGTGTCTAAGGGGGCTAGGTGAGTGGGATGAGGCGAATGGATCGCCAAGGTGGAGCATCGTTTGACAGGCGTGTGAAAGGCCGCCAGACGTGCCTGGAGAGGAGCTCCTAGGAGATGGCATTCCCAACGAGGTGTTAATACACGCACAAACACACTCGCACAAAGGAGGTAGCCCAGAAGCAGGTTGGGTGAGTGGTTGGGGTGCATCTGTCACCTGGCATGCCACACCGACACACATGTCGTATGCGCAATGTTTGTGCATGGGAATTTAATGGAGCTTGGGTGGAGCCGTATATCCTGCTGCATATCATATTAACATTAGCAAACGCCTTGGCATTCAAATTTCCGCCTCAGTCAGCTGACACTGCATCCTATGGCACGCCCCTTCCGGCCACCCGCCTATCCCCACATAATCTTAATTATGCCAATGCCATTTCTTGCAAATATTTTGAGTTTACTCTCTGGATCTCGGGCTGGGAGATGCATTTCGTTCCGGAAAACGTGACGCTGACAAGCTGCCGCTCATTAAAATGTTTGGGGCCAATTATTAAGTCAATTGCACAAATGGGCGGGGAGGAGGGCTTCTTATCTCCGGGCACAGAGCCACAAACTTAATTAACGAGCAAAGTCAATGGAGGACGCGGGCGGAAACAAGCTGACGGTGGTTTTGGGGTTAATAGACAGATGACGCGGCCGGATGACATGGAAATGTGGTTTCCTATATACTCACAATATAGAAGACATATAAGATACTAAATAAAAGGAAAGGGTTTTAATTATATCGACATATATACCTTTAATGCTCTTAAATTTTCCTTTATTTTTGAGGAAACAACAAGCTATTTTGAGCAACCTAATTTTTGTCAGATGCCCCGAGAATTTCTTTTGTTTGTACCCGAATTGTGTAAACACACATCCTGTTGTAGATTCATCCTGAAATTATTACACTTTCAATTTGACCACACATGGAGACGTGATACCGATCAATGTGCTGGATATTTTGGCATAAAATAAATAACAACTTGATGAGGAGCAGAATAAGGAATCCTTTGTTCGACCTCCATTTGTTTTTAGACAAAATTGCAATTTTATACGGACCAGTAGACCAGTGCCAGGGCCGAATCAATATCCGGAATATGTGCATTTCTTTCCAGAGGCGTTCAGGCTTCGCCGCACTCTAATAACACACCTTTGCCCACCTGAAATTGACTCGAAAATTGTATTTGCTTAGCCCACTTCGGTGTTTGCATTGTCTAACCAGCTATGCCGAATTCGGCCACATATCTCGGAATAAGTCATATGAATCTCTCGCTTCTGCCCCAACGGCCGTTATTTATATGCTCTGCCATGGCAACTATGGTGGGGTGTTTTGGCCTTAAATTATGTTTATATATTGCATGAATATACAGCCACCCCTGGCCTAGACAAGTCCGGGCCGGAGAGTGCCCGTTAGTCCAGACAATGCACACAATACACATGTTTCAATGGTAGACAGTTTTTAGACGTGATAATGCAAGTGGAAAATCAGAAAAATATATACTTTGTGTCCTGCTCGTCCTGCTAGTCCTGCCAGTCACCAGCAGAGGGAAAACAAAGAAGCCTCGGGTGGAGAGAAGGCGGAGATCCCCCTGGAGTACTGCAATATACGTATCGTAGTACCCCATCGCCATATGCAACATAATTTTCACTCTGTCTGACAGGACGTGGAATGATTTCTGTCTGCGGCTGTCACATAATGTTAACTTGAAGGATTCGTCTCGCATTGTGTCCCTGGTGCATGAAAAGCTCATTACATGGCGAACATAGAAGGTTCATTTGTTGTCCTGACCACAAACTCCCGGCTCCTCGGGCACAAAGTTTTCCAATACACCATCTGATCCTTAAGTAAGTTGCGCTAAATTGCCCTGGTGTCGAGCAATTGAATATCCGCATCGATTGGGTTACTGGGGAGGCGAGAGGCGCCTCCTCTCGTGCACTTTTAATTGCATAACACATAGTTTCACGCTTCTTGCTTACGCTTCACTTCATTCCGGCAACTTGGCAGGGCAAAAGTTCACTTTAACAAGTGAACAACTTTCAATGGGCAATTAAAAGGGCATACAAACCGGGGACAACAACGCCACATCCCACTCGGGTGCAGGAGGGGGTGGCACCCGAGGGGCAGGACGTCACCAGCGAGAAGTCACCGGAAATGTTAACAAAATGCATAGCAGCACAGATTCTGCAAAGTTTTTCGGCCCGAAAGGCAATTAAAGTTTTGGCACCGAAACAACACCAACAAAAGAAGAACACAGCAAGATAAAGTTCAACTCTTAAGATTTATATTTAAAATTAATGCATTAAACGGAGAATGAAAAATGTCTTTTAATTTTTAATTAAACTCTTTTTCAAGAAACTTAAATAATCACATGTATACCATAAGAAAGCCTTATATTTATTTGAGTGTGCATGGTAGATGGAGCAGACCCTCCGCAAGATGGTGACACCATGTCCTGGCAGGATACTTCACTGCGGCAAAGACATTTGACTTTTGTTCCGCCAGTTGTTGCCGGTCCGGGCCATAAATGTTTAGGCCAAGAATTTAGCATCCGCGATTCGACACGGAATTCTATTAATTTAAGAAGCTTCGAGCTTAAACATGGTGGTTTGTGCTCTTTACTCAAATAACTTGTTTATGTATTCGCTCAATTCAACCAAAACATGGCGCCATCAAAGTCTGAAACCCAAAAGGGGATGAAAAGGGGGCTGTGTCGCATATAAATTGCATATTTATACACCATAAACATTAATTTGCTTGCCATTTAGCAAGAAGCGCAGTTAATTGAAAACAACAATATCCGAGGCAGTGCAGCAAAAGCTCTTTTGTGACGCCCACCTAACCCAACTCCCCATACTCTGCCTCGTCCTTTTGGCCAGAATGCAGGAGCAGGAGCCACAGCAAGAGCATCCAACGCCAACTACTTTAAATTATGCAAAGAATAGGAAAATGCAACCAGCAAAAATTGCAGCCATCATTAAATTTGCGTGGACGGGCGGAGAGATGTGGAAATAGAGTGGAATGCAAGCGGGTGGTTGTCGGGCGGGAAGTAATGCCAAATTTAATTGCAATTAATGTGCAGTAAAGCGGAAGTGCCATAGAAACGGGTTACGTGTCGGCCATTGCTGGACGGACGGCAGCTTCCGGTTGGCGCCATGTTGGAACTTACTTTGCATGCAGAAAGGAGGTGGGTGGGTCAGAGGGGGATGTGAGTGGGTTAACCTGATACCCAGTGGAGCTCAACATGCTTTTCTTGGATTAACCCTGAGAGGATGCACTAATGGAATTTAAATTTGATATGGATTATGAGTTCAGCAAGACATTGAAACACATACACACCTCATTTGTGAATATATTTGGACAAACTTTCCAAAAATTATGTAAAGAGAAGCTCACTTTTCAGTTGAAATTTGCACATTCCCTCCCATGAACATCTCACCAAGAGCTACACCACATTCGGAACAAGCCCCAATAGAACCAAATTTAAAAGCCACCACTCTGCCACCTCTCCATGGATACTATTTGCTGTCCAGGCGGAAACGAATGAACCAAATAAGAAATCAAGTTTAAAATGTCCCGTTTCGTAACATGGCCGCTCTGACCGCGTAACACATTTTGTTGGGCCGGGGGAATGGTGGGGTAATGGTAGCGGGGCCGAGGATACATGTTACATGCTACCTGGTTGCATTTACCTGGCGCCGTCGCGAAATTCAATTACTCGTGCACCATAAACCGATTAACTTATATAAATATTTATATCGCTGAAATGCAGTCGGTCGCCAATGGCTTTATGGGTCGTAGCTCTTTGCGGCCCAATGGAGGAGGAGGGCCAGTGGGTGGGGTCTATCTGGCGGTTTACGGTTTTCATGTGCCCCTGCATATGCAAACAGTTTTCTCTCGGTCGGGCCTTTCGGTCATTCAGAGCAATGGAGCTGTGGCTGCAATAATTTCATTTGCATTTGCATTTGTTGCCGTTTATGGTCCACTCAAGTGTTGTCGGATCCCGTTCTCCGCTCCATTCATCGCCCCGTGCGAATGTTTAATGATAACACGCTAGGTGTCATCCACAGACAAGGACACTTGAAACCCCAGTCCGGAGTCCGAACAGAAGCAGCCGCTGTAGACACGGCCCGGAAGGCATACATATCATTACAAAGCCATTACAGTGTATGTGAGCCGTTTCACATGCAGTTGTTCAACTGAAAGACACAAGAAAAAAATGCAGGTACAATTAGCATAAATTACTCATACGCCATGTATTCCTGGGGAAATATTTATTGTATAATAGCTATAATTATTGTTTAGACTTAAATTGTAAACTCCTTTCCCTTTTTTGTTTCTTACTGTGCATCTGAAACGTTGTAGGTGGCAAGTGGCAACTACTTGTCTCCATAAATAGTTGCTAAACAGCAATGGGCCAATGTAAGTGGCCAATGTGAAAGTGCTCCAGTTGTCCGTGTCCCTGCCAGAGCTGCAGGGTCGCGAGGAACGACACAGGATCAGGGGCACGGGTTAATCTCGAGTAAAGTGATGCCCTCGACCTCCGCTGGTGTCTGATTAATTGAGTTACGCAGCCTGGCGCGTAAACTCGTGGTAAACTTTGATTGCCCTCGGGCATGGGCTTAGTGGGTCCTTTTATGCAGTGTGCATTAGTCACATGACTTATGCAAGGGCCCGAGGGGATCCCCACACACTCCTCTCGCTGGTCAGGCATTTATAATGCACGAGAGTGTTTAGCAATTATGATGGTGTTGACCAGTAAACGGCAAATATTTGATTAACTAAAATCATTGGGTGTCTAATTAATGAATTAGTAAGCCAGGCTTAAAAAGGAAATAAATACAAAACGAGATTAGTCATAAATTAATTGTTCTAAAATCGTTTGAGGGATTAGTGAAAAATGTTCTATTTAAAGTGTTTATTCAATTTATGCGAAATATTGATTTCGTAATTGAAGCATTGCTGAAAGAAATGACTTATTGTTATGGCTTTAAGGCATTGTTAATAAATTTAAATCTTCAAATAATGATATGAATAATTTCTCATTTTAAACAGCTTTCAAACTCCCATTCTAGAGACTCCAGTTGCGACCGTATTTAAGCTGCAGCTGGCGCAAAGTCCCTTGCAACTTGTCCTTTGCCGCGTAGGCGCTCCGCTGCTTCTCCAACTCCTGGGTAACCAGGCGGCGTTGCAGGTGCGTCAGCTGCTGCCGAATCCACACATGATTACTCTGCAGCTGCCGTAACTTGGCCCAAACGTGGCCATCCCGGCCCCTAACCGAATCGACACTCCAATCCAATCCCAGCTCCACGTCTTCCAGGTCGACGACTGTTGAATGCACATCCATGCCCCAAAGACTGTGACTTCTGCGAGTCCTGCACGGAAACATATATTTTAGAATATTTATAAAATATTAAAAACCATTAAAAAACTAGGTAAAGACAAAGTAAATGAGTGTTTAAGAAGATTTTTTTTGTAGAAATCTTTTAAGTTATTTCCCTAGAACTCTTTCCACTAAATATTTGTTTTCAGTGCACAAATCTGTTGGAGACACAGAGGCGAGAACTTGTAATAATTTATGCGTACCAACTGGGTGGCAAACTGGAATCTAATCGCTTAATTCCGTGTTGAGAAAAACTTTGGCCAGAGAGGCATCCAAGATATGTATATAGTACCCAGTGGATTTGTGGAGCGAGAAAGTTCACCTCTTTTTCTGGCTGATTGACTTAAAAATTGAACATTTTCAACGTATTTGGTTAAGATGTATTTTGGTTTTTTTTTCTGCTCAGCTAATACCTCGGATGGTTGTGCGCAATACTCAGTGATGCGTTGGCAAAATTTGCAAATCGTTTGGCCTAGTGGAAATTGGAAGGGGATGGGGATGTGTCGAAGGGACAGGGGCACCCGCATTTCCTCGCTCCTTGAGGTGGGATAGACCGAAATTGCTTTTCCGCTCTGTAGGTCAGCCAAGCAGAAAAATGTCTGCCCTGCTCGGATGCTGCTGGCAGCAAAGTTCGATTTTCAACTATCGATTGATTTGGCATTCATTCCTTTTCGTTTTCTTGCCACAACTTTAAATAGCTAGCTGCACTAACATGTCGCCGCAACTTTGTTTTCTCTTCCCAAATTGCGTTGCAGCAGGCGCCTCCATCGTATTTCGGTTGCTTCTTTGGAAGACTTTGGGGCAAGAACGAAAGCGATTTTCAATTTTTTACACTTAATAGTTTGGAGTAATTTTTAACAGTACATAAAATTTTATTTACTTATATATTAGATATATTACGGATTTTTAAATTTGTATTAAAATGAAGAGTTCAATGTGCGATTTAAAAAACGTATTATTTCTTATGCTCGTATGTATATAAGGAGTAATGCTTCTTCCATAGTATACACGTAATACTTAAAACTCATTAATCCTTAATTTCTTAAAATTTAAATCATTAAAAATTACTTGTTTAACTATTTTTTATCCAGTGTCTTCATGTTTGAAATGCAATTTCCCAAACTCCGAATTGACTGAGATGCTAATGATCCTTCTACCCCCCATTGAGACAAGGCCAAAGACTTCATCAAAGAATGTCAACTCTGGGGGCGTGGCGGGCGGCACTAGCTTTCACTTTTCGTTTCTTCCGGCCCACCAATGTGCAAAGCAGACCAACTGAGGCGACTCCTAATGCAGTGAGAACGCCTCAGTTGCGGTATTGTGGCTGCCAACCGTGCGTATGCGTAATATTCGACAAATTTGCGCATTTCCTTCCAGGCTAAATGTTCGACAAGCTGCCAGAGTGTTTGTGTGTGCGGGTGGCTGGTTTTTTTCGTGTCTGTTTGCTTTCTATTTGTGGTCCAAACACTTGAGGCAATTTTTCGATTATTACGCACAAACCGTGTTACCAAGGACACACAGCCAGTTGAATTTTAAAGTGGGTGGAGCTCTCAAAAAGCTCCTTCTGATGGAAATTATATCTAGCAGGATATCAAATCAGACCATTCTTACCTTCAACCTTTGACTTTTGAGCTGGAGTGCTGCTGATATTCCGAACTAGTTGATAGGAAACGAAAGGATAAACTTTTAAAACAACGCCAGCTGCTCCTACTGACAGCCTAATTGGAAATCTATGCCACTAAATGTAAGCCCACTCCACCCCACACATCCGCACCGTTGTCTTTGTCTCGCAGTTGATATTCTGTTTGCCGGAATTGGCAACTTAATTATTTCAGCGGCACGTCGCCAGCGACTGGTGCTTAAGCCAAACCTCCCAGCTGTCTGGATAAAGAGCGTAAATAAAAAGAGCGAGCGAGTGGCAAGGAAGAGCTTGCGAAATAAACAACGCTTGCAGCATGCAACGTCAGTTGGGGCAACAACAGCCACAGCAATAGCAGCTGGCAGTGGGAATCTGTGCTGAAAGATAAAGTTGCCTGGCAAACGGATTTCATTTCACGCAGCCAAAAGAAACACTTCCAGCAAAAGTGCGCGAAGACTAAAGCCTTTGGTGGGGTTCGGGGTTCTATATGTGTGTGTGTGTGTGACCCCATTAGCACCAACCACGCCCACATATTTGGAGCCCGCGGAGGGCGATATCCCAGAAAAAATCGTCCAAAAAAGTAACAGTCCTGCGGCTTTATTCATGGACATGATTCATTAGTCGACATTCAGAAGTGAGTGTTCCCGCAACCGGAATTTGCTTGCAGCAGAGGTTGCCTGAAAAAATAGGGAATACATTCTGAAATGTCCCTCAAGAATGCAAATGGAGAGATAGTTTGTTCATAGACACTTTTTCAAGGGGTTTTTTTGTACAGAATACTTTCCATAATGTTTCAGAAAAACATTTCTGAAACGTTTTCAATCTTTTCTTAACTATAAGCTATAAAAGAGTCTTATCTACTGTTCAAAATTTTTACCTTTTAAATAAAAATAATATTTTGGAGCCCATCGAAAAGATATTCTTTGACAAAGCGTAATAATACGAGCTTTTATTATTTCACAATCTTAAAGGATTGGGTCTAAAAAAGATATTTTTTGCTAAAAAGAAGCAATTTAATTGAATAAGACTTTCTACTTTCCACCACGGCAATCACCAGTTGAAATTAATTTCAAGAACACACCTATATATTTGCCAATTATTTCGTTTTTCTTGAAGATTTTACGAACCGAGTCGTTGTGTTTTTCTCTCTTTTTTCGGCATTGACGTTTGCAACTTTGACACAGCCGAAAGTAATTAATTTTTGGCAACTAACTCGAAATGTCAAAAGGCGCAAAAAAGTGTAAATGAAGAACACAGACGCCACAATTAACGCCTGCAACTTTAATTGCGTTTTAATGTGCATCAGGCCGCAGAGTGTTTTGCCTCCGTGTGGGTGTGGGTGTGGGTGGCCGGGAGTGGGCGGGATTGGTGGTTGACGGGGTGGTGCGTGGCAGCGTCCTGGCCGTACGAGTGAGCTGGGTGGTTCAACGTGCTCCGTCAACCGCAGGCGGTGGCTCAAAAGCGTAACAAGCATTCGGCCGCGCCTCAGCAACATGGCAGGCTCACACTGCTATACTGCCAGGCAGGCACTCATACACGTTTACAAAGATGCAAAGACAAACACACACGTGAATGGGTCCTGTGACTGGGACGAGGATTGCCATTGCGAATGTGTGCCTGTGCCTGTCCCCCTGCCTGGGCCTGAGTGCCTGCCTCAAAAGCGGCTTAACAAACGTACATACAAAGAGCTCCAGGCACTCAAAAAAAAAAATAGTGAACAATAAAAGCAAAAAAAGGAGGAATATTGTAATAGCATTGTTCAATTGAGAGGAAATGGGTATGGAAGGTGCTCCTGTAAGGAAATTTCTTTAACTCTTTACAATGAGCTTTCGCGGGAAAATATTTCCTTTATATTTTTACAATTAAACAAGAAAGGAAAGCTAACTTCGGGCGGAGCCGAAGTTTATATACCCTTGCAGTTAAAACCGGATATATATCGCAAACATCGGATATAGTTGGCCGATCCTTATGGCAATAGGAATATGTAATCCAATTTTTTACAATACAAAATCTAAAAAAAGTCCCAAACTTCTATCTTCAAAAATACGAAAGTTGATATTTCTACCAAGTACCATTTCCGATCGTTCAGTTATATGGCAGCTATAGGATATAGTCGGCCGATCCTAATGAAATTTGGTAGGTCGGATCAACTGACCAAATATATAATCTGTACCAAGTTCCAGCTTTCTATCTTCAAAAACACGAGTTGGGTTAAAGTTGGGTCATTTCCGATCGTTCAGTTGTATGGCAGCTATAGGATATAGTCGGCCGATCCTTACGAAATTTGGCATGTCGTATTATTTTGCCAAAAATAGCTCTCACCTAAAATTTGAACTCTCTAACTTTAAAAACACCAAAGTTATACCATTTCCGATCAATCAGTTATATGGCAGCTATAGGATATAGTCGGCCGATCCGGGCCGTTCCGACTTATATACTGCGTGCAAAGGAAAGAAGGGTGTGTGCAAAGTTTCAAGACGATAGCTTTAAAACTGAGAGACTAGTTTGCGTAGAAACAGACAGACAGACGGACAGACAGACGGACAGACGGACAGACGGACATGCTCATATCAACTCAGGAGGTGATCCTGATCAAGAATATATATACTTTATAGGGTCGGAGATGTCTCCTTCACGTGCTTCACTTTTGACCAAAATTATAATACCCTCTGCAAGGGTATAAAAACTGTCCATATTCTTATATTGTAGTATAATACACATTTTTTTAAGTGCATTGCTCCACATCCGAAACCAAATCCGTACAGACATGGGCAGGAGGAACCAGCTCCCGGACACGGACACTAAACCGTGCGCCTCCGTCTGGGCCAACTATTTACATGGCACCCCATTATGTCCGGACTTGTAGCTGCGTCTTTTGTGATGCTTTTGACTCTACCTCTCTGCTCCCCTGCTCCTCGTCCTTCCTAAGTGACGTGATTTAAACTTTTATGCCCTTTGAAATTTTCGTCGCCCAGCTTATCGCTTGCGTTGATGCTGCCATCTCTGTCTCCGGTTCCAGCTCCACCTCCCGTATCTGTCTCCTTCCCGATCTCTGGCTCCGTCTGAGGCTTCGCTTCCGGCGTGCAGAGGACAAATCACGTAATCTGGCCTTAGTGGGTCAAGCAGCAGAAGCAGCAGTAAACTGTAAACCGTAACCGTAATGTAACAACCCGCACGGAGAGATACTGGGATTGTGGCTGTATGTAGCGAGACAAGTACAAGTAAATAGACATAAAGATACACGACATGAAAACCACTGTCAACATGGCGGAGTCAGATGCTGGGAATGTCAAGTGTGGTGCAAGTTGTAAGGACTGCCACAATATACCCAAAGCAAGTCAAGCACCCATTCAGATCGAGTGGCCGACATGCAGAATACTCTATGATCGGCTTATGTTGTGGTTTTCTCTTCTGTTGATTCAAATTGGTTGAAAAATTCGAAAACTTTAGGTTGAAAATGAGGAAAAATAGATTTATTAATCAAGTCAACCACTCATTGAGGTTAAGATACACCACAGCAATCACAACATTGTTCTACCAAAACAATGTCCTTGGACTGAAATTCTGATGGCATGTGGTGTTACGATAAAGCCTTTCCACAAAATAATCTTTTTTGCGGTTTTCAAATGTAATGATATTAGTTTTCATTTTCCGGTGTCTTTGTTGTGGTATCTGTAGCAACGAAATTGTGGCCAACCTTGAATACTTCAATAAATTTCGGAGCTAGTTGCAAGAGAACATCGTTTGCATCCAATCACTTCAATATACCATTAATAGTTACTCAAATCGAATTCTAGTTAAATAATGAATCGTTTCAGTTTCCTGCTAGGCAAACACCAGCATTAAGCGACGATTTTCAGGTCCGAGGACGACGAGAACGAGTCCGAGCAAACTGGCCAAAGAGCAAACACCGTCAAGGGTCGCTGATTTTCGAGGGCAGACAGGTGCAAAGTGCAAAAAACGATTGATTGAACTGCGCGGGACAATGCCTCCTCATTCGCTCCAAGGACGCGCCTTCGACAGCGTCTTCACATTGAAGTGTTTTAAATTGTTCGCCATTATCGGCGGCTGTCAATAAGCGCATTAAAAACATTTCTGCAATTCGCGGGCTCGTTGACGTGATGGGGCTGACAAGCGGCTGTCGAGCAGCTGAGTCCCTCGGAAACTGAGGGAAACTCTTCAGAGTGTGGAAGCCCGGAAAACTGCAAACCCAGCGCTGCAACGCTAACGAGTCCCATTGATTTTCCCTCATACAAATAACAACAAAAAACTGGTTGCAAGCTGGAGCGGCGGAAGCTGTGCGCACGGTGCGTATGAGTAATGGGAAAATTCTTAATGGGCGAAGAAAATTGGTTGGGCATAAACAATGAGATGCCAGCGACCGAAGAGAATGATAATGAGCTCACCGAGAAAGGCAAGCCAGGTAACAAAGCTGGAGGACATCATTAGGCAACCGTATTATTACTTTGCGAGCAACCAGGTGTGTCATGCACACCAAATATTCCATTACAAAATTTTACATTTTGGCCTAATTTGATATGCTACCAGTAAGGAAGTCTTTAGGTATTTTAAAGGTCATCTTTCGTATTTATACTACAAGCCTACAATTTGTTTTTCATGTTAAAGTTAAAGTTAAATTTCAATTTTTAAAGATTTTAATGCCAGCTTACATCGTTTGTCTTAAACCATTGTAATAACAGAGTAACGCCAGTAAAATATTTGTTGTTTTCTTTTTCGTGGCCGAATATTAAAATACACAGATTATTATTATTACTGGGCTTCTGTTGGCGACAGCACTGCGCTTTTTGGCGTCTCGCCGGGGTCCCATTAATGCGATGCTTTCATTATGCAATCAATAAATTATGATTCATTTTAATGCCATATCGAGGCACTTATTGCAACTCCTTCCATTCTTCGTTCGGCGATTCACAGTTTTAATCCTTTGGCATGCAATATTTAATCAACAATTTCCAACGAACTCAACCATTCGGTATCCAATTATAATCATTTTCTGTCTTCTTTATTTAATTGTTTAATTTTCTTTTAATTTTCGT